TAAGCTACTGTCATTACCGTCTGTCCTGCATCTCTCTCTCTCTCTCTCTCTCTCTCTCTCTCTCTCTCATTGTGTCATGCAGATTACTGTTAATTTATTATGCTGATCTGTTCTGTACGACATCTATTGCACGTCTGTCCGTCCTGGAAGAGGGATCCCTCCTCAGTTGCTCTTCCTGAGGTTTCTACCATTTTTTTTCCCTGTTAAAGGGTTTTTTTGGGGAGTTTTTCCTGATCAGCTGTGAGGGTCATAAGGACAGAGGGATGTCGTATGCTGTAAAGCCCTGTAAGGCAAATTGTGATTTGTGATTTGTGATATTGGGCTTTATAAATAAAATTGATTGATTGATTGATTGATTGATTGATTGATACTTGCCTCACTTGAGGCAGTAACTCTTTCCCAACCAAGAGGGGGCAATCCACTGTTTCCAGCAGAGAACAATGGCCTCAGACTTGGAGCTGCTGACTCTCATCCTAACCGCTGCAATCTCGGCTGCAAACCGCATCAGTAAATGCTGGAGGTCACGGTGTGATGAAGCCAGCAGAACCACATCATCTGCAAAAACAGAAATATTAATATTAATAATAATAATTCATCTATTTTGTAACCGCTTATCCTCTTGAGGGTTGCGGGGGGGCTGGAGCCTATCCCAGCCGACACCCTGGACAGGTCACCAGACTATCACAGGGCTGACACATAGAGACAAACAACCATTCACACTCACATTCACACCTATGGACAATTTAGAGTCACCAATTAACCTGCATGTCTTTGGACTGTGGGAGGAAGCTGGAGCACCTGGAGGAAACCCACGCTGACACGGGGAGAACATGCAAACTCCACACAGAAGGGCTCCCCCCTGATCGAACCAGGAACCCTCTTGCTGTGAGGCGACAGTGCTATTATTGTAATAATATTATGATTATTATTACTTATCATTACTTAATTTTTATTGTTATCATATCGTCATTATTTGGTCATACTTGTTAATTGTGTGGTATGAAACTATTATTATAATAATATTATGACAGAAACAATCAGGTGTGATGATGCCAACAGAACCACATCATCTGCAAAAGTAGAAATACTACCACTACTACTAATTATTACTATTGTTATTTAATTTTTTATCATCATCATCATTAGGTTATACTCATTGTGTTGTACGAAACTATTATTATAATAATATTATGACAGAAACAATCAGGTGTGATGATGCCAACAGAACCACATCATCTGCAAAAGTAGAAATACTACCACTACTACTAATTATTACTATTGTTATTTAATTTTTTATCATCATCATCATTAGGTTATACTCATTGTGTTGTACGAAACTATTATTATAATAATATTATGATAGAAATAATACAATAAATAGGTAGGTTACAATAAAGCAGAGCATAGCAGTGTGGGATAAAGTTCTTAAAAGCACTTCAGCCCTTTCATGATCGGATGTTTCTCGGCGTCTTCAGATGTCGGAGCTTCTGAGGAGCCCCTGAACGCAGCAGCAGTGTGTGTGAGCAGTGTAGAGGAAGTGGCGGCTGATCTGGGTCCGCACCTTTTCCGGTAACACAGCACCGCCACCGCTGTGACTGAACGGCTGGAGAGAGAGAGAGAGAGGGAGGAAGAGAGCCAGAGAGCGGCCAGAGAGGGGAGAAACGGCCCGGGGACCGGGGGATGATCGCCGCAGACGCAGGTACGTGCCCGGCTCTCTGTCCTCTTTGCTTTTGTTCCGCGCCTCTGTGCGCACGGAGAATATTTTTTCGGATCCAAAGTTGTCCTCTGTACTAACACCCCTCCCTTCTCTGGACCGCTCTTGTGTCACAGGGGGAAGAGAAGAAAGTCGGATGAATCAATGACCTTTTGAGCGCTCTTGCTCTGGATGTCCCGGTGCGCACACACACGGACTGAGAGCTCACACACATCGGGGTGTGTTTGACACGAGAAACACGGTGCTGTGAAATCCATCGACTGGAGCTGGCTGAGGGCAAGTGTGGACAGCCGGCAGCCAAGGAGGAAGTGGGAACCCCGGGCTTGGACAGGGCCTGATTTATAGAAGGCTTTTTGTAAAAAACCCAAAACAATAACCAAAAAGAAACTCTGTGAATCAGATCCAGCTCAACTGACAGGAAGTGGATTTTTTTAACAGGGGAGGAAAGACTTGAAATGTGGGTTTTCAAGTCTGTGCTCATCGGCTAGTTTGAAACAAGGGGATGTAATTTTTCCTTCTTACATCGGAGGGCAGTGGATCATGAAAACACATCCCCACCCAATTCTGCGAGGGCTCCACACACACTGCTCCCATTGAACGCTCACAGTCACCCGCTCAGGTCAGATCATCAGCTAATTGTAGTCCTCTGTTATCCAACTGTACACACTTGAAAGTCACCGCCTTTTTCTGAATATTGACCCACCGCTGCCATCACGTGGAGGGCTTCCAGCACGCACACTGACATTGTAAAACTCAGTTGTAGTCAAAGCAACTGTTTTAATTTTCTCTCATAAGAGAAGTTGTGTTTCTCTCCTCACGAGGTATTTATGCAAACAAGATGGGGAAGGTGCTGTCAAAGATCTTTGGCAACAAGGAGATGAGAATACTGATGCTTGGACTCGATGCAGCTGGGAAAACCACCATCCTGTACAAGCTGAAGCTGGGACAGTCCGTCACCACCATCCCCACCGTGGGCTTTAACGTGGAGACCGTCACCTATAAGAATGTGAAGTTCAACGTGTGGGACGTAGGGGGGCAGGACAAGATCCGGCCGCTCTGGAGACATTACTACACAGGCACCCAGGGCCTCATTTTCGTGGTGGACTGTGCCGACAGGGACAGGATCGACGAGGCCAAGCAGGAGCTCCACCGGATCATCAACGACCGGGAGATGCGGGACGCCATCATCCTGATCTTCGCCAACAAACAAGACATCCTGGATGCCATGAAGCCCCACGAGATCCAGGAGAAGCTGGGCCTGACCCGGATCAGAGATAGGAATTGGTACGTTCAGCCTTCGTGTGCGACATCAGGGGATGGACTATACGAGGGCCTGACCTGGCTTACCTCAAACTACAAATCTTAATGTTTGTCCCATCACCAGCCCAGACTGAAAGTAGCTGAGAAAAAAAAATGCAATCTGAAGCAATTAATACCCTGACCTCTCTGCTGAGTGTATATCAAAGAGAGTAGCAATTATATTTTTCTTTTTCAATATAACCCCAGATTTCATTTAAACAAAAGACAATTTATTTTTTTGCTAGCTTTCTTTTTGCTTTGGTTCACATTCTGTATAATCAGTTTAAATATACAATAACTTTTGAGCTTTTCCTTTCTGTTTTTTATATAATTTCTTTTACGGGACTTTTGGGACACACTTGTACTTTCTACTCCTGCTCGACTCTCCTTCAGTATTCTCATCAGCTACATATCCAAAGGATGGGAGAGTCCAGACACCATTGCCTACATCAGCATATCAGTTTCATGGCTCAAACTGCCTCTGTAATTTGTAAGAATGTGTATTACGACTATGTTAGGACCTCGATGAAAAAAAAAAGAAGTCATAATTGATTGTACTGGGATGATTGAGGGCATGTGATTTCCTGTGCAGCGATCACATCCATCATGTGGCGGCTTGTTTGAAAGACACTATGTGGACGCTGGATATTCACACACACACACTGTGATATGGATATATATTTTTGTTGTTTCAGGGTCTGAATCTGTTTCCACCAGTCTTATTACTGCCGCTTTTATTTCTCCCAGAGCTTCCATTACTGTTGAGTATTTGTAGTTTCAGCTGCCTTAGAAGGGACCCGGGTTACAGGTGCCCCGAAATCCAGGCAGTAACTACGGCAGAAGGTTTTCTCAACTGCTGAGTTTGCACTTTGGGAGCAAAGGGGGGCGGTTACCAACTAGCTGGCTGTGCAACATTTTCTGTCACTGACTTTTGGACCCCAGCAAGTGTTTACGAAAACCCCAACCCCCCACCACCATCTCCAGTGTAGGTGCTTCAGTGACTGCAACCCTCCTTTTTTTTTAATTTCATGTCACCCATCATCATTAATCAGGTCCTGCAGACACACACCAACTCTCTGTTAATAGTTCATAGAATCTGCTGTTTTATTTTTGTTCCCTTTTTATTTTGCTATGCTGATGAAATAATAAAAAAATATATCCAGATCAGTACGGAAGTGACGCCTTTTCAATCTGCGACCGTTACAAGCAAAACTAATATTTCACTTCTGAAAAGAAGTTGAGCACGTACGAGGAGGAAGTGAGAGTTTAAGGGGCGTTAGAAAGTTTGAAAGAGGGACCGGTTGGAAACGCACTGCGAGAGCGAGGTGAGCCTCGGCCTGTTTGCTCTCTGCACTGTGCATGTGTGAGTCACCGGCTGTGAATAAGTGATGAGAGCTCTAGTTTCAGAGTAGTGATTGTCAGGTAAACCGCGCTTTGCTGCAGGTCTTAAAGTATCACTCTGGTGACCAGGAGCCGACTCCTCATGTGGCTTCTGACATCTTCAAACAAAGGAGGCAAATTAGAGAGGTATTGTCTAAATCTTGAACCATAGAAGATTGGAAGTCATCAAACGTAAAGCACACTGAGTACTACATTAGTACTATATTAGTAATGGGTAACTCCACATCTGTGTATTTCAACAAGGGTGCTGTTAAAAGTTTCAGGAAATGACACATTCAAATAGTCGTCATGATAAAAAACGTACATTCTGGTGAGAACTTGTTCATGAGAAGAGTGAATATGGGTCACTGAGAACTTGATGAGAGCAGTGTCTTACTTCATGCTTGTGTAACTGCTGAGGTTAGGGTGACAGCCTCACGAAAAGGTCTGCGCCAGCCTGGCATTTTGCCCTGTGAGTCACCATCTGACTTGAGATCAGCAGTGACATCCTCAGAAAGTTTTTATTGTGATGACCAGATGGGGCCAATATAAATCTTTGGGTGTTGCACCAAAACAAAAAGGCATAACTGAATTTCAGGAATTTGCTGTAGAGTTGAAAACTATTGCCCTTTATACATAGAGATAGTGCCATAGGGCCACAAGGAAGTCCCTTCTTTACGCTGCCTTTGTATTTTTGCACAGAACTAAACAGCAGCAGCATCATGCCGCTCCTGAGTGTGAGTTTAGATAGTATGCCAGCATCACAGAAGAAAAAGAGGCGTAACAGGCGGGACTTGTAACAGAACAGCGTCGGCAGAGCTTTCTAAACAATAACAATGGCAATAACAATCTGTAAAAGCCACTTAAGTACATATTTATATTTGATCAAAAAAATCTCAGTGTTGATACGACATCATATAGGTTCTGCTATTATTTAAGTTTCATTTCTGTGTATTTTAAATGGCATATGGCAGTCAACTAAGTGAAGGCTATGTTTATATTTATTTCATTTATGTGTTAGAATACAGGCTCAAGTTATTTATGCCAGGTGTGGTGCCATAAGGTGCGCATGACAAAAGGAGATTGTTGACAACGCCATGCGTAAATAAGACAAAAGGTTTGTGTTCGTTTAGATTGTAATAAGCTTTCGATTGTGTCATGCAGTATTTAGGTATAATATAATAATAATAATAATAATATAGTATAATAACAGGTATTACAATGAGAATATATCAAAATAGGACATCAAGTCTGTAGTGAACCAACGAGATGTATCATTCTATATCATCAATAAACCAAGTTGCTGTTTAAATCTCCCGGCAGTAAGTCACACACATACAGTAACATGTCAAAACTCAACACTCTGTGTCGCCCATGATCTTTTCCGACCACTGTCCTGTTTATACAGAAGTTGTTCCGGCGCTGTTACTGCCTCCAATGCTGGCACAAAGGTGAGACAACTGTCCCCTCATTCAGTAATCGTACATTTTATACAAAGCAGCGTCGTGGCATAAGAGCGTGAAGTTCCTACCTTGAAGAGGCAGTGTAAAAGGGGCTAATGTCAGTATGGAGAGTTAAGGAATCGTATAATAAGATACTTTAAATGTACTGGTGTTAGTCTTTGCTCATCAGATAATTAGTTATATTAGCTGTAAAATTAGAAATCAAAGTTCTGAGTTTCACAACAATCCTGTTTTGATGTGTTATGTATCTGTACATGTTCGGCAGTTCATTATCCAGCACCTCCAGGATGTTGCAGTCGCAACAATTAAAGCAAATTTAGCCGATCTCGGTGAGTTCTGCACGAGCTTGCAATCTTGTCCAATCACAGCAACTTTACAACAAATTTGACTGATTTAAATGGGTGAAACCTCATTTCATTGTACAGCTGCGGGCAAAATGTTGCTTTCTCTCACACGCACACATCTTAGCATCACATGACCAACGTTACCCAGTGGTTATTGACGGGTTGAATGACAGAGCTGAGCCATTTCGATGTTGGTGATAGGTTGTTGAGATCGTTTAAAGGCTCAGCGTTGGATGCTAGCCACTGCTGCTGTGTTAGCTCATGCTAACCAGGCAGAGCAGGATGAGAGCAGCTCACAGAGATGGTCGTGTAGCGCTGCACTGAATGGCAGCAACAGCTGAGTGTCACAGATCCCGCACTCCCCACTCGTCGTCTTCCTTAAAAAGACAAATACACAGCTTTTACTTAAAGAGGCAACAGATAGGATTTGGGTTTTTTTAGCTTGGCGCCACCTAGCGTCAGTGGAGTTGTGTCGCACTGTCGCAACGACCAAATGGAGCTCAAATTGAATGGGAAACAAAGTCCAGTGTTCACTTAGCTGGGCGTAACTTAGCTGGGCGATGTCTGTCAATAGCTGCCTCCGTGAGAAGAGAACAGAAGGAAGGGAGGGGGGTCTCACTGTCCGAGGGCTGCCGTAGAATGGCAACCAGGATGTCAGCCGACCAACACTTGCTACCCGCTCCCTGGTTGCGGCGATTTGCGATGCTGGCCAGCTAGGAATGAACTAGCAGCCAGTACAGTACAGTCCTCTCTGGTCTAGCTAACATTTAGCCGTGTTACTTACTGATCCATTAGAAAGAAAGCTAGCTGGACATGGGTTTTGAAGCCTCTTTGGTCATGGAGTTCCCTCCATCTCTTGAACGCCTGACTGAGGTTTACTCTTGTTTTTCCTCTTCTTTTATCACTCTCCTTTTTGCTCTTCTTTGCCTCCTCACACAGAGGAGCTTGTTTGCTTTCTCTAGGCCGTTTTTCACTTGTCTCCAAACTTTGTCCGTCTGCCATTGTGCTCGTGACTCAACTATCTCATGCCCAACTCCTCATAAGGACCAGCTCCAGTCCCTGATTGGCTGACCGACCAATTTCGCGATACATGATGCAGATTTTTTCTGCAAAATTTCGCCCCTGATGGCAGAAGCTTATTGCAAAGATTGCAAAGCCACTAAGTAACCTATGTAAACGCTGATAGTCTGATTTTACTGTGGCCACTACCCTGTGCAACCCACATTATTTTCATAGTAATATATTTAGGAAAAGATGCTGTCTGTTGCCTCTTTAAGGATGTATATTGATTGTAAGGAACAAAATATTTAGTGGGAACAAGCCAAGAGGGTTCAAGGGACCCCTTTGAAAATGGCCATGGCAGTTGTTCTCTCGCTAAAATTCTAGCCTAACTCTGGAGCACTACTTAGCCTCCGTTCAGACAAGCTATGCCAACGTGATCAACATCACCAATGGATGTATTAAATTGTCTAGTTCTGCAAGTTAGCCACAGCCTCTGAAAGACAGTAATATCAGCCACCAATTATTTTTGCCAGGGGTTTGAGCAATTGTATCAGGCAGGTCATGCCCCCCTTGACCCATTCATAGGGGTGCTACTCGAGATCAGGCCACAGTTTTGAGGCTGTTCCTTTTTTATTTTGCTTTGACCACTGACTGTATATCACTGCTCAGAGTTTCACAGGTTTTCAGGAAATAAGAAGACGGAAAAGAGCTGTGTGTCTAAGGTCAGCTTCCCCTCTACATGCATCAAAACAGGCAAGTGTGAATTGCGGGTGGTGACATCACTTTGTGAAGTCAGGAAACGCTCGAAAAGTAGAAAAGAGTTGCCATGGAAATTGGTGGTTTAGGTGTGGCACGCCTGTCGGAGAGCAAAGACAGTAAGTGTGAAGTTAAAAATAAACACACACAGGTAGAATTCTCTATATCTGACCGTGCGGAGCAATCACGTCTGTCGACCGTCCTGAAAATGTCACATTTTGAAAGTATTAAATGTTTTTTCTAACATGTGACTGTTGCAGTGTTCAGGAGAGTCACAGTCCAGGGATTCCTGTGCAGGAATGCTCGCTCTCTATCTCTGTTTTCTCGCTGTTTGCTCGTGGTGTTTGCTCTGTGGCTGCTGATTTGAAGTTTGACCTGTTGCTGTGTTGAAAGCAGCAGCAGGTATGTGACGTGTCCAGCGTGAAGGACAGGGACAGAAAGTTAAACCGAGATGGATGCACAAATACCACAGCCTTTTATCTCTCCTGAAACTGCTCACTTTCCAGTAAAAGTTTTTTTTTCGGAGGGGGGATTATAGAGGCTGCACTGACAGGAATTTCCTGCATTTTCACAGCACACTATTGTAATGAAACCGCTTTATTTGAACAGTTGAGGGCAGTGCCTCTGCAGTGTCAAGTATGATCTTGTTTGCTTATGACTTTCCATTCATGACTTCCACTGTGCATGTGGAAATTCCAGAGTAAAACTCTTTTTTTTCGTCGCTCAGGAGAGGAAATATGGAAAGAGAGAGCAGTCTGAAACAGCCCCCGATGTTACATCAGCGTTGAGCTGGTGAATCACGCTGCACATGTCAGGGGCCTTTTGTACAGCTGTCACTGCTCTCAGCGGCAGATGCAGTTGCACACTTTGGCTGGTGTCAAATGCTGTCAGGCTCACCTGTGGCCCTCAGTTAAAGGACACAATTTAAGAGTTTGTCACTCTTACTTAACCAGGTCTGTTTCACTGAATTTTTGTCAAGGAAAAAAGTCAGCTGCTGCTCATACTACCCTGAAACTGCTCATTTACCCTGCAACCTCACCGAGACCATGACACATTTCTTTCAGTTCCTCCTCATCATCATCAGTCACATCAGGACTTCAGATGTGATTCACTCGCAACGTGTTTCCTGTCACCAGTCTCCCAGTGAAAGCTTACTACGGAAGTGTTGGATTTGAATGAAAGCCCGAGCAGACCTGCTTCGCTTTCGTTCGGCTTTAGCTCC